AATTCTGGACACACATAGATTGGAAGGCTCAAATTTCTATGGTGAACTGTAAACACTATACTCATAGACTTAGCTAAAAAAAATCCTCGTTGCCGTTTCTGAGACTAAGGTATGATTGGTCGAAAATAGGGCGCGTCTGTCCCTTTAAGAGGAATCTTCTCGTATATACAAGGCTCAAGTACACCATTGAATCAATAAACACATTTGAAAATCTCATTTTGAAGTTTTGTGGGGCGAATGAAAATAAATGGAGAAACCTTGGTGGAGTAGACTTTTATTTTACAACTTTTTCCTATGCTAACAGAGACAATTCACCTAAAAATATCAAAAACGTATGGCAATATGAAACACAAAAGAAACAAACCTTTATTTGCATATCTGCTATCAACAAACGTGGCAAGAATCGTCAAAATACAACACACCCTCGCTAGCCTCAACATAGTGTCTTCTTGTGAGATTTAAATGAGTCATTGTCAAAATCATTATTTATATGTTGTTCAACGCACGTGCAATTCAACCTGTTCTATTTATAGTGTGAGTTTGATTTAAAGACGATATGTTGTATTCGTTACCTCTCGGAAATATTGAAAGTTGGAAATTCCCGTGTTGGAAATATATTCGAAACCGCTCAAGCTATAGTGGGAAGACGTATTCTCAATGGGAAACTTGGGTGTACATTGAGCAACCCGAGTTGTGACGTAACAATGAAAAACGGGCAGACAATCATTGAAAGACAGATGTCTATTTCCCACTTCCCAAAGAATGACGAATGCAGCATGAAAATGAATTGTCGGAAATCCTCGGTATCAATATGTAAAGACATATTGCGCTTTACATCGTTACAACTTATATATTTGTGATACAAGACTATACCACATGACAGTTTCACCAATATTTTCAGCTTAAACTTGCTTTTGGAAAGGTTTAGTAAGCACTATGCAAAATGTATTTCTTCGTCAAAGTTTGGAACGTTTTGTTTTATTGTTCGGTAGTTAAAAGTCGTCCCGTCTTCCTCTGCAATATTCACCTATCAGATCCTAGAAGAGATACAATTTTCGATCAACCATCATGAGTATAGGTTTATTCTGCAGAAAGTAGTGAGTGAATGCCAATAAGTGCAAAAGCAAATTATAAATTGGGCCCGGTCCAGTAGTTACATCGAATTAAACTATACACGTTCTATTAGCTTTGGAATTGACACATATCCCCAGAGATTGTCACTCGATACTTCATTTGTTCGCAAGAAAACGAGAAATAAAAAAATATTATGGAATTCCTTGGAACGTTTCATTGACTAATCAAGCCCATTATCTTATTAAAGTTTACATTACATCTAATATCAATAGAGGCCTTTTTTAATTATGCATACCTTGTAATCTTTTATCTTTTGTTTCCGTTTACGTTTGACTTCTTGACTAAAGATAGTTTGTCTTAATGAGAAGGCATGGCTGGGTGGAGACACGTTTCCTGGGAACCGATGTCTATAAAAACCAAGATGGCGAAAACGTATAAAAACAATGGAGGCCAATCAATATTATAATTAATTCATTGGTGTGAAATTTTATAAGACTAACTTTATAGTACAGAAAATTGAAATTCACCGTCTGTTATAAACTATGAACTAAGTGGAAGTCATTTGTAACAACCTCCGGGTCGCAACCAAGCACTTTTCTGAAATATTTTTGAAATTTATATGATTCATAAAAAAAATAGAATTTAATCATAACATTTCAAATAGAGAAGAACATGATTATAGTGCTTAGTGGCCACGTTAGACTTCCGAGACTGGGAGAACATCTGTCGGGACTGAATTCAAAATGAGGCAACTCTGATGACCCGTCATTATCTTCAAATTTGATAATAAAAAAAAATATAGTCGAATACAAAGTGAAAGTTGTTAATCAAAACTAAAGATCGAAAAATTTCAGAAGAAAAAAGGCCTTTTTAATGGTTTTGATACATTATTTTGAAGCCAAAGGCATTTACTTTAGTTTGAATTTAAGCTACTGTTTTGCATGTGATGTTTAACTTTTTTGAAATGTTATACTAACAAAATAGTTTCACTGTTAAAATAGTGCTCAATTATAATGAAATGAATCGAGTTTTACGTCCTTCTTTTTCGCACCATGTGGGCTAATGAAAACTGGCAACGCCATGCAGGATACAATGAAGGAAATTTAGTCTGTTCTTTTTCGATTTCCAACTGTTGAGGATCACACGGGGCTTCAATTTATTGTCCCATCCGAACGTCTAGGCGATTTTTCCATGTCAATCCCTCTTACCTGCATCACTGACTTGGGGAAACCGGGTTGAAAATTCCGAAGGTATCATGTCGACCTTTGCCGGGATTGAACCCTGGACCTCTAGAACAGTGAGCAAGCGTCTATCTCACGGATATCAGTGCTCAATTGAAGAGCTAATAAAAATTTCAGAACTGAACCTGTGACAAATTTAAAATGCGATACAGAAATGGGATTTACTGTGAACTGCACAGTAAGAAAATTGAAAAATTTGATAATTATAGGGTACTATTTTTCACTGGTCATTTCACTATATTTCAAGCAATTCATTTGAAATGTGATACATAAATAGGAAGAAACTTGTATAGTAATACAACTTTCATTAGACGTTTATTTGATTATACTAAATAATGCATTAATTTATAGTTAATCAGCGATGGATAACATCATTATCATTTTCATTATTTCTACTATATCATTAATATTTAATTATTCGTCTATACACTACCGTGAAATAGCCATTTGTGTGTGTTATATGGTCAGTATATATTAAGTAGCAGGACAGAGCATATTCAGTAATTTCACTACAGCTGGTGATACCAACAATTTCGTTAAATTATCTCCCTTGAAAATGGCTTGTAACATTCGCGATTAGTGACGTCAGCAAACACTTAGTTTTAGTGGAATTACAGGAATCACAGATGTCTGATTGAAACTTTAAATGGTGCAAATTGATGCTATCAGTGTCTCCGATATACATAAACACTTTAGAAAACCTTTTTACAATCCCTCTAAATGCATTTCTGTATTATTTTGTATCAATCATAAAATGAAATGACTGAAGTCTTACGCTCTTCTTTTCTGCATCTGACATGGCTAATGAAATTAAAACGTTGATTTGATTAAGTTCAAGAGGGCTGACTAGACTGTAACTGAAGTGGCTATATTAAAAATAAATGCTAAAAAACGAAACGAAATTTGGTCGAATTTTGATTAGATAGTATCAGTTTTGTGACTCGATTGTGCTCTCCATAGTATAACTTGCTGCATAATTTTAAAAATCTTAAAGGGACTGTAAAGATAATTTCTTAATTTTTTTATGACTATCGGGGACCCTGATAGCATCAAATTACACCATTCCAATTTTCAAACATCTGTTCCTGCAATTTCACTAAAACTAAGTGTTTTATGACGTCACTTATTGCAAAATATGCTTGTATGACGTCATAGAACACTTAGATTTAGTGCTAGAGCCACATGCGCCTGATTGAAAATTGGAATGGTGCGAATTGATGCTATTGTTGTCCCCGATACACATAAAAAATTTAGAAAATCCTCTTTACAATCCCTTTAAAACAGATTTTTTTATCCTGAAAATTATGAATGGGCTAATGAGGGAATTCCTCCTCCACGCACAGATATCGTGACCTCACCCATACCAATCTCAAAACACTGTTAAACGGACTTAAAAAAAAGTTCAATACCATGAAAGTGTTTCTACCTTGAAATAGATGAAATCTCTCACACTGTCACCATTATATCATTTTATAAGTTCTTTTATATTTTCATTGATTATTGTTGAGTGTTCTAATTCTCGAGGAATGTTACGCATTTTTAAAGTGTTGAAATTTCTCGACAATCGTCTATTAAGAATTAATAGAAATACCTTTGTAAAACATCTAAGGGCCGTTTAACATGCACAGTGACAATAACTTGTATAAATTCTCATATAAACCGATCCTCATTACCGAATTTACGCCTAATCGTCACCCATCCGAAAATCATAAAATATACACCTGTCGTACTGTTCTTTTGCCTTTAAAAAGCTGTTGTCTTCCTAAAATGGACTGGTACCAGGTGTCCCAATATATAGATATAGACGTACACGTATTAAACGTAATTTGACCACTGATTAATATACTCACTTAATGGGGGAATCAATTAAAACACAAATTGGTTTATGTTAATTATTATGCTAATGAAGTACCAAATGCCCATACAAAAGGCCTCGTTCAACTACTGGTATCTTCATAACTTGAATGGATCCCACAACCTACATTAACGTTCCCGTAGTGAAATGCACAGCATCAGTATAATTCACCTCTCATCATTGTTCTCTTGAGATTTCAAGGTAAGTTTACCATCCTCTGAATATTTCAGTATGTGAAGTTGGAGATAACAAAGAAAATATGTCATCCAGCTATCGTTAATTGTGTATCTCAAAGTACCAGTACTACCACTCAGTCAAACGACGCGTCTGAACCTGCGATCGGCTTATTCAATAATGCATAGAAAGAATTCATCTTTCCATTTGACTGAACACATTACAAATGATAAAGGGAGAATGGAAGAGAAGAAAGCAGTAGAATATGTCTCAAACGTCAGACAGGAAAGAAGTATTGTGTTTAAGCTAGGATCAAGCCAGGTATCAAGGTTGTAAAAGGTAAGTCTTTAATGTCTAAAGATTGAAAGCATTGTGCATCGTATTTCTGCAAAATGTACAGTAGCTATATGTAGTTTCAAATGATGGGGGTTAATGAGAGAATACTAATAGAAACACGTTCACCTTAGAACGTTTTAGATGAGAACAAATTCCAACTGGTTAGATCACGGAGCGTATTATACAGAGTAAAGGGTTGGATTATCAAGGTACGATATCCGGTGCAGGGTACGGAACTGGAGAATCGATTCAGTAGGAAAATGATTGGTGATTAGTGATTTAGTAAGTGAAAACATGTTCATTCAAGAACGTTTTCGATGAGAGGAAACTCTTACTGTGCAGTACAGAACACTTAAGTTCCGAGTAAAGGTCACGATAGCTGACGTACGGTTTCCGGTGCAAAGTACGGAACTGGATGATCGATTTAGTAGAACAATAAGATTAAGCAATTTGTCGAGGTTATCTGATGATGATTTACATTTCTCTTACTGCCCTGGCATTAATAAGAAGTCAGAACTGACCGTTTAATCTAATTGCCTTAATAGTGACAAAATTGTTGTCCAGAACTAAGGCAGCAGAAGGCAATTGTCACAAATAGTTTAGTTAAATAGCTTTATCAATTTGTCCTTCTATTTCTGGCGAACTTTCTTGAAATTATATTGACAATAACAATGTTTTTTTCTGGATTTCATAGTTAAAAGCTTTGGAATCGTTGGTAAATGTTAACAACAGAGAGTTCTAATTTTATTTAATACTATAATATGCAGTTGGTGTTA